ATTTGGGCGGCGTTTTGCAAATCTTCCCACATCGTGACATAGAGATGTTGGGGGCGTGTTGGAACGAGCCGTTTTAGGTAGGCGTGGTTGACTCTTAACTTTTATAAAGAATATCTCTTTGGATTTGAGACTTTAGTCTTTGCAATTTTACAGATCTTCTTTATGCACCAAGAGCTTGTAACACTCCAAAGAGAAAGGAAAAATTGAAATCGCATCATATGACCCCTTTAATTTTACCTTCATAAAACCTGCAGAAACTTTAAGTATAACTGTTAGATTGAATTCATTCCAGTGATTAGTACGTGCAAATCTTAGCTTGTCACAGTAATCCTTATCCAGTAATCATAAATAAATGAAAAAGCCATGGATTTTCATTGGTCAAAAGGTGTGGGAACCCTGCATGACAGGATGTGTAGAGAATTCAGACAGCGATAAATGAAGATATGTCGGGCATGAGGAGGACATTGGGACAGACGGCAGCATGACCAGAGCAAGTGTGTGTGAAGAATGATCTTGTCAACCACTTCCCACAAGACGTTTTGGAAAATAGTACTTCCTGCAGAGCATTATGGGAACTTTTGACTGTAATAGAGACTTCTATTGTTCATATGCAATGTAATAAACAAATGTCACCTGTTTCTTGTTTTTATAAAATCATGGGGGCACTTGGTTATGACAGTGGGTTGGAATTTCCACAGTGAAACTCTTAGCATAGACAGTGAGACGTTAAATAATGTTACACCAAATAAAGAAATATGCCCCAATAGGAAGTCATTATGTGATTTCCTTTGAGCCTTTCGTCATTTTTCTTTCGTCAATTCTGAAGCTAAACCAGATAAACTAAAACACAGGAAATGTTGGAAGTTGGGGGATTCTTAGTGATATAGGTAACATCCACAGGATGTTTAGATGTGCACACTGCTGTGTAATTTTAGACAAACTCAATGGCCAAGGAAGGTAATGAGAGGTCTTAGCCTGGTTGGAAAGCTTGTTTTTGGAAACAATTACAGTAAAAGGAAGGAAATTGGGAGACTTTCCCAAGTGGCGGTTAGAATCCTTGTGTTTGTTGATGAGTTTGTTTGAAAGTGGTCAGATGAAGAAAACACATGCTAGGCCTTAGCAAAACGTTTTCCTGCATTTTTCAGTTTTCAGTTTTAAACTGGGCTCTTTTTGGCACTTTTATAATAAAACAAAAACAAAACAGGACTTTATGCTGAAGTTCAGCATTGCCATCACATGAATAGAAGACAGGTATTTTAAATTGTAATATTTCACAATATTCCTCTTTTACTGTATTTGTTTTATCAAATAAATGAAGCTTTGGTGTTGAAGAAAACAGTCACATGTTAGGCCTTTGCAAAAATATATATTTTTCAAGTTTAAAGTAGACTCTATTGTTGCTTATAAATCTTACCAAAAGAATGCCACCACCACAGGAAATAAATTACATTTTAAAATAGATATTTAAATAGAAAACAGTTATTTAGTTAAAGATATTTTACAATACTATCAAAAACAGTAAATGAAGCATTAGTGATAGATAAAATGATCACAATATTTGACTTTTTTGTCAAGCATTGTCATTTACTTGACATTCTTCACAATACTTATTTTAGAGTGGACTTTTGGCATTTGTAATATTTTCTTGTTGCCAAGAAAATGCATGACTTTATACTGATGTGAGTGTTTGAAATCTCTTGGTATCCCTTAACAAATTATTAAACTTTGGTGTATGATGCACAACACAAAATTTCCAAGCACAACTTGCTGATGGACTTTATGTACTGTATCATTTTGAGTTACTGTTCTTGTAAGTTCATTGGCTAGTGTTTACTAATTTTGACCTAATCCATAGTGCCCTGTGTTTGGTCTGCAGCTGCTGGATGTGAGGTTGTTGCTCTTGGCACGGGCAGTTCTAATACCAAATCCAGTCCTGCACCCACAGGAAGAATCCTGCATGACTCACATGCAGTAGTAACCGCGCGGAGATCATTAATGAGGTAAGTGGGATTTTTAGTTGCAGCTGGTCATCATATTCATGAATGTGTGCTGATGGCCAGTTCAGAGAAGATCTGACTCTTTTTAAAAAGTCTTTTGCCACTGTGGTTTGCTCTTTGTTAACACTGCCAAGGTTTGGACACACTTGACTGAATTTGGGTTTCTCATGATCTAAAAACCCTTTGATCTAAAGGCTTTTTTCTTAGATTCTTGAAATGAAATGAAACAGTGTTTGGAAAAAGCATTTCTTGAAAGTAGATGTGTTGGACCGGCTGGTGAAGGACCAACATACACATCTCAGATGTATTTTTTTGAAAGAAATTAATACTTTTATTCAGCAACGATGCAGTAAAATGATCAAAAGTGACATTAAGGACTTTTATGTTGTTGCAAAAGATTTCCATTTCAAATAAATGCAGTTCATTTGAACTTTCTATTAATCAAAGAATCAAAAAATGTATCACGTTTTCTAAAGAAATGTTTCAACATGGATAATAATAAGAAATGTTTCCTGAGCAGCAAATCAGGGTATTAGAATGATTTCTGAAGGATCATGTGACACTGAAGACTGGAGTAATGATGCTGAAAATTCAGCTTTGACCACAGGAATAAATGACATTTTAACATATTCACATAGAAAACCATTATTTTAAATTGTAATAATATTTCACAATATTATTCACAATTATTATTGAGTGGAATTTAAATGTGTTTTGAATGTGCCGTAGGTTTCTGTACAGGAACCTGTTGCTGTTCTTCAGTAAGAATAGTGCTCTGGAGGAAAAGTCAGTCTTTCAGCAGGACCAGACCACGAAACTCCTCAGCCTCAAAAATCACTTCACTTTACACCTCTACCTGAGCCAACTGCCCAAAGGAGCAGCGCAGATACCGTCTCAACTGTACGTACATTCACAAACAGAGGTTATTTACATCAAATTTAGCAACATATCTGATACATCAAGATAAAATTCTGATTGTAATGTAAATCAATGAGATCTTTATAACAGTATAGCAGATACTTGCATAAAATTATATAAATATCAGTTTTCACTCTATATCTCCAATAATGTCTTAGTAGGATGATATTTACAGTTGAGGTCAAGCGTTTACATCCCTTTTTAAGAATCTGCAAAATGTTAATTATTTGACCAAAATAAGAGGGATCATACAAAATGCATGCTATTTTTTATTTAGTACTGACCTGAATAAGAGATTTCTCATAAAAGATGTTTACATATAGTCCACAAGAGAAAATAATAGTTGAATTTATAAAAATGACCCCGTTCTAAAGTTTTCATCCCCTTGATTCTTAATACTGTGTTGTTACCTTAATGATCCACAGCTGTGTTTTTTTGTTTAGTGATTAGTGTTTATGTTTAGTGTTTAGTCCCTTGTTTGTCCTGAACAGTTAGTTAAACTGCCTGCTGTTCTTCAGAAAAATCCTTCAGGTCCCATAAATTCTTTGGTTTTCTGGCATTTTTGTGTATTTGAACCCTTTCCAACAATGACTGTATGATTTTGAGGTCCATCTTTTCACACTGAGGACAACTGAGGGGACTCGTATACAACTATTACAGAAGGTTCAAACGCTCACTGATGCTCCAGAAGGAAAACCATGCATTAAGAGAATTTGAAGATCGGGGTAAATGTAACTTATTTTGGGACAGTTTTACTAACAGCTTGCGCCAGCACAAACCGTCTTTTGGCGTTAAATTTGTACTGTCAGGTTTTACTAAAGATGCACAGTGACGTATTAGCGCTGAAAAGGCGTGGACAGTTATTTTTACACCTGACCTTATTGAATATGCATTTTTAGGAGTTTATCTTTCAGACACAAAAGTTATGGGAGGATGAATCACGCAACGCGTTTTACTAACGTTTGCGCTTGTCAAATTACTGGCATTTGCGCCATTATTTAACACCCCAGAAAAGCATGTCTTAAACTATTTCGCGCTTGAAATGGCTGCACTTATTGTTTCTAGAGGAGGCAAGCAAAGAACAGAGAGCGCGTGTAGAAGGGAGAGGATTTTTTTCCACGTATTAATTTATTTGGAATGCCAGAAGAAGACATTATCCGAACATATCGTTTGCCAAGCCATGTTATTTTTAATTTGCTTCAGGAAATTAAAGACGACTTTGAAACCTCAACTAGGAGTCACGCAATACCAAATCTATCAAAACTTCTAGAAAACCTTCATTTTTTGACCTCCGGTTCTTTTCAATGTACTGTGGCTTATTTCTTTATTGTTTATTCGCGACTACGCTAATTTGCGCTGTGCTTGGTATATTGCGTTGGTCGATATGTAAATGAGATGTTGCGTCTGTGTTCTTTAATTTGCGCATTGTTAGTAAATCACCCGCACAAATTTCCACGCCCATCGGCGCTGTTTTGGAATTGCGCTCTCATGCTAATTTGCCCAGTTTAGTAAAACTGGCCCTTTGTCTTCTGGCAAACATGTAACTATCTTCTGTAGCCTCTGAAGGGCAGTACTAAATGAAAAAATATGATGTGCAAAATAAGAAAACATTTACACATCTCTATTCTGTTCAAAAGTTTTCTCTTAATGCAGGGTTTTCCTTCTGGAGCATCAGTGAGCGTTTGAACCTTCTGTAATAGTTGCATACGAGTCCCTCAGTTGTCCTCAGTGTGAAAAGATGGATCTCAAAATCATAGTCATTGTTGGAAAGGGTTCAAATACACAAAAATGCTTGAAAACCAAAGAATTTGTGGGACCTGAAGGATTTTTCTGAAGAACAGCAGGCAGTTTAACTAACTGTTCAGGACAAACAAGGGACTCATGAACAACTATCACTAAACAAAAAAACAGCTGTGGATCATTCAGGTAACAACAGTATTAAAGGGGTCATATGATGCTGCTAAAAAGAACATTATTTTGTGTATTTGGTGTAATGAAATACACCAAAAATACAAAGTAAGAGCATCACTTGCAGTGTGTGCACTTTCAGCTCATTAAGAAAACATATTAACATATTGCATTCCATTCAATTTATTTCTTAAAATTTTTTTTTGCTTGGTCTTAAAAAGTCTTAAAGGGGTCATATGATGTTGCTAAAAAGAACATTATTTTGTGTATTTGGTGTAATGAAATGTGTTTATGCGGTTTAAGGTTAAAAAAAAACATTATTTTCCACATACTGTACAATTTTGTTTCTCCTCTATGCCCCGCCTTTCTGAAACTCTCGATTTTTACAAAGCTCATCGGTCTGAAAAAGCGAGGTGTGACTTTTGAACAGCTTCATTTTTATAAATTCAACTATTATTTTCTCTTGTGGACTATATGTAAACATCTTTTATGTAAAATCCCTTATTCAGGTCAGTACTAAATAAACAACATGCATTTTGTATGATCCCTCTTATTTTGGTAAAATAATTAACATTTTGCAGATTCTGAAAGGGATCAACTGTAATTGCTTAGTTTTATCATCAAAGCTCTCTACTTTCAAAACATAATGCAGTGCAATACAATGATGATTGAGGGATGAACAAATAAATGTTCCTCAGAAACCTGATTATCATGATTTTAAAAAAATTTAAATGTATGGATAATCAAGTAAAGATAAGCTGCTTCAGTCTTGAAATATTACTAACAATATAAAAGTTATCAAATTTATTGAAAAAAAATCTGTAAAAAATTCACAGCAGAGAATTATGCTATATGCCTTTTACTTGCTAAAAGAGATCAAATAAACTATCAATCAGATGACAGAAGACATAGCAAATTGTGTGCAACAGTTTTTTTTAGCAAAGTTTTGATCATACTGATCATTTAGAGCCATTTACTGTATCAAATATGATACAGTAGGCTTTATAGGGTTAAAGTCTGACATGATTGGTTGTGCTTTTATTCTTCATTTGTGCATGCATGCATTGTGACCTTCATATTGAAGAAGTATGGTATGAACATACTTTTCAAGCAAAAGAAGAAATAAGGTTTCTTAAATTACAAATGGTATATCTGATTTTGTCTCTGTTTTCTAGCCGCCTCAATCCTCTGTCCATCTCTGCGTGGGAGGTGAATAATCAGATCGGCCTTCATGCCGTGGTGGAAGGGAAGGTTTTCTCCAAGTTCTCCAGCTCGTATGAGCAGATGGGCTCACATGTGGTCAGTATGTCGGCCACTGATAAGATCATGCAGTGGCAGGTGTTGGGCTTCCAGGGGGCGCTACTGAGCCACTTTATTGAGCCGGTCTACGTGAGCAGCATCTTCATTGGTAAGTTGGAGTAAAGCCCAATGATGATCAGTGTAGTTGCTGTTAATGCATTTTGTACTTGTTTTGCTCAGGCAATGGGAGCTGCAGCGATACTCGCGGTATGGAGATGGCAGTGAACCAGCGTGTGGATGGCATCACCTCAGCACTTCCCTTGTACTACTGTGTCTACCGGCCGCACATCAGCTTGGTGTCCTCAGCTGTGCCTCCAGATGCGCACCCTTCCCAGAAATCCCTCAGCCTTAACTGGAGCCATGGAGACCTTTTGGTGGAGGTAGTCAATGCTCTAGATGGGAAGTCTACTGAAGAGTGAGTGTTATTCGTCTCGTCTGTTGACTTCATTTTGCAACACGGAAGTAAGATATTTTCTGTTAACGTGCAAGACTTCTGATTCATTAGCCTCTGTAGGTAAATACCTAAAACAATAACAAAGTGCAGTGACAGGGAGTTAAAAGTATTTGCACTACCAACGAATGTGTTTATTATTGTGATTAATACATTAAAGGAGTAGTTTATGCAAAAATGGAAATTTGCTGAAAATGTACTCATCCTCAGGTCATCGAAAATGTAATTTGTAGGGTTGGGTATCGTTTGAATTTTATCAATTCCGATTCCGATTCCGATTCTTTTCAATTCCCAGTTTCGATTCCAATGTGATTAAATAATTATATCAAGCATTTATCCTGTGTCTCTTTTTTGCAAACCATTTATTGGAGCTGAATACCATAAACAATTATCAACAGGCTACATAAAAACTCTTTAAGAGCTGTTTGTGTGCAAAATATAACTGCATGATTCTGGATAAATTGAGTTTTTTTTTCTTTCCCCCCCAATGGAAGTTGTGGTTCTCTCATGATTCTGAAGAAAAAACATTAGACAACTAAACAAAATCTCATGTAATTTATGAATTAATGATTAAATGACTCACTCAAGATG